CTTGTGTATTTCAAACTTCGTAAATAGCATTCATTTCAAGCGCAGACTTTATTTGAGTGTAATAAACGTAAGTGAAATGTATTCACGAGCCATAATACTCGTACCTTCTAAAGTTACGACTTTTACTCTTGAAATTGGACCAAAACATCGCCCACTATTTAAAACATCGCCCATGGGCGGGGTTTAGGATGGGCGGGGTGTCAGCCAAATGCGGTATATAGTCATAGTAGTATCTAAGCAGCTTACATTTCACACTGTATGCTTACTTTCAGATTGGTGAAATTTGATCCTACAGGACTTAATATATTAACAGGTATATCGAATATTACAACAGGTGATAGTGATGATGATTTAGACCTGTCACTGCCTAGGTACGTCACTTTACATAAATTGTATATTCAAAATATTAAAATCAGTTCGTGTATACTGCTTGTTATTTGTTAAACCATTAAATGATACTGCTTGATACTTTGTGATTGCCTCTTCAGCTTTGGTAAAAAATAATTGTCTGATGAGGCTCTTTCCTATAGTATCGATGAGCCAGAATGATTTGAAATTGTAGTTGTAGCAACAAAATATATGTTGGTGTATTCGGGACCTAGTAATTATAGAGTTACTAAGACCACAATTGGTCAGTCTCATTCAATCCACGAAATATTTAATAGAACAGGTTGTAATGTATTTACTACTGCATTTTGCATAGCATTTTCCTCCATGGTTAGATTTAATGTAGCGAAATCCTGAACTTCCAAGCAGCCAGTATTTGACTGTTGTATTTTTTTTTAAAGGGAAGCAAATGAGAGAGATGTGTCTGAATTTCCACAGAATACAGAAGATGCCCACTTAGTGAGGAGACTGAGACTACAACTTACTCGACAGTCTGATCCAACCGATGATCCTCATACTGTTGCTGATGCTCTCTTTAACCATCCCAGTAATATAGACGCAGATCAACAAGCGGCAGCTTCTGTGAGTAATGTCAGACCTTTGGCCTCACTCAGGAGACATACACATGGACCATTTGCATATAACCCGATGAGAAATCTGGACTCTGTGTTGTCAGGTACTTCCGATACTATCGGGCAGAGTGACTCTAGGAGCTTTTCTGACAGTATTTCTAATCAGCCAGTTAGGAGACATTATAGTTCAGCATCAAATAGTTCACATGCTATCGGCCATTCCCACTATAGCAGTGGGATGGCCAGTACAGGAAATGTAAGTGTTGATCGCGCTGAAAATATAAGTGGGCTAGTAAGGACAGAAAATATCACTTCTGAACATGTTGGAGTCAGTGGTAGTCGAACTAGGACTGAAAATGGCAGTCATAATATTCGAGTGCCGGCCGATTTTGGACAAAGTATAACAGTTACGGCCAGTATGGGTCCATCATCATCTGATGCATCACAGGAAAATGAATCGTCAGAGGATGCTCCCTCAAGTCAAACTGAAAACTCAAATGCAGAGCCTTTGCAATCTAATCTGCAGGTAGGGAACAATAGTAGTGCACCCACTTCAGGGCTACAGTTGAATATACCAGTAATAAACATTGAAGTCTCTGCTACTAGTGGTAGAGAAGGAGAAGCGCAGTCCACTTCATCTACAGCTTCAACGTCAAATAGAGAGTATTCCAGCACACCGAGGGGAAGCCCTAATAGTCCTAGATTGAATATATCTATAGTCGTGTCCAGAAACAGAGCAGGTACTACCACTACAACGACTCGTACAAGCAGTAATTCTGAAGTGGCTGCATCTTCCAGTGGAAGTGCTGAGAGTACAACAAGGGAATCATCATCACCTTTGCATTTTGCTGGTCCAGGTATGTACATGGTAGATGTAATAGCATTACAAAAACTGGGTATTTCTTAAACCATCAAATGTGGTAAATTAGGTGGTACATTAGACATGCATTTCTCCACATAGTGTGTGAATCAATTTATTAGCTGTACAGCAACATACAATTTTCTTTTTTTTTAAAGACCAACCTTTCCAAGTACACAGTCTGACTCAACTAAATTTTTTTGCACTCTTTAACACTTGTTTCTGTGTAGAAATGCCGAGTGGAGCAAGAACGTTTGCAGTAAGACCAAACAGAAGAGCTGTCACACGATCATCACGGCTGATTTTGAATCAACAGAGGCGTGCTATGTCTGACGAAGCATCAATGTTGACATCGCCTCTCGGATCAGAGAGCAGGAGAGCCAGAATGACACGATTTGGGTTCCATAGAGGTACTGAACGGTATGTGATGAGGTATTCTGGATATATTATTTTGTTTGATTCTTTTATGTGGTATCCACTTCAAATTTTGACCGTTGTTGCCTTAGAACCAGGGCATAGCTGCCTGTTACTTATATCTAAAGTGAAAAACTATAAAAATCTACCTGCGATATGTGTGTGATATTATATTCTTGATGAAACTGTACTTTGTGTATGATCATGTGTGATACTGTAATCCTCCCATTATTTGAATCATGAAAAAATAATTGACTTTGGAAGTGACTAAATTAAAAATATTAAGTGGTGAAATAATTGCAGAATCATTCATTTCAAACAATTAAAGTCAAGGTGGATTGACTGCAATATTGTTTTAATAGAAATTTAGAGGTACTGTGAAATACTTTTATTAGTCCCCGTTCGGATGAAGTCCGAAAACGGGGACTTATAATTCGGTCTCCGTCCGTCTGTGCGTCCGTCCGGAGTCATATCTCAGAATCCCTTGGACCGATTTCGTTCATTTTTTGCATGTGCCTAGTACTTTATCTGGGACATATGCACATGCAGTGGTTTAGTGATTCGATGCAAAATGTTGTATTTTGGACATGCTTTGTCAGTTGTCATTCAAATTTGGTACATAGTTTATACATGTTAGGATACATGTCCATGACGATTTATTTCACAATTGGATCAAAGATGGCCAACTGGCAGCCATCTTGTTTTTTAAAAATGTCGTATTTTGAACATGCTTTGTCAGTTTTCATTCAAATTTAGTACATGGATCATACATGTTAGGATACATGTCCCGGACCGTCCATGAGTTCCTGAGTCTGTCCGACCGTCTGTCCGAGTGTCCATCCGTCCGTGCGTCAGTCTGTCCAGAGTCATATTTTAGAATCCTGTGGACCGATTCTGTTCATTCTTTGCATGTGCCTAGTACCTTATATGGGACATATGCACATGCAGTGGTTTAGCGATTCGATTCAAAATGGCCAACAGGCAGCCATCTTGTTTTTTGAAAATGTTGTATTTTGGACATACTTTGTCAGTTGTCATTCAAACTTGGTACATACCGGTAGATTATACATGTTAGGATATATGTCTATGACGATTTAGTTCGCAATTGGATCAAAGATGGCCAACTGGCAGCCATCTTGTTTTTTGAAAACGTTGTATTTTGGACATGCTTTGCCAGTTTTCATTCAAACTTGGTACATAGATTATACATGTTAGGATGCATGTCCATGACAATTTGTTTCAAAATCTGGTCAAGGATGGCCGATTGACAGCCATCTGACTTTTTGGCCTCACTACTATATTTCCACAATTTATGTACCATTTTCATTCGTATTTGGCACATACATCATACATATCAGTGTGTTTCATAATCAGATCAAAGATGGCCGAATAATGGCTGTTTTTATTTTTGGCCATATTACTACTACATGGAACACGTGTTTTGATGTAAATAAACAATGTGTTGTATACGTCACTTGGAACTCAAGTTTCAAGGACACGCTCGCGACAACCCCTCCAATTTAACATGACGTGCACAAAGAGAACTTTAAAAAATTTAACGGGGACTGTGTCATTTTCAATGACTTGTGTTAGCTGGAATTAATTTTCGCTGAAAAGATATTTTTGGTGTTTTGTATGGATTTTATTTTCACTGAATCATTCCTTCAGCGAAAATAGCGAAAATTAACTCTAAGCAAAAATAAAGTATTTTACAGTATCTAAGGAATCAAAGGATTGTTGTAATAGAGCTGTGTTGTATTTTTAATTATTTATAACTTCCATCTTTTACACAGGAGTCGTCTTTTACATCATCACCATCATTACCACCATCACCTACATCAGCATTACAGTATTAGTATCTTTGACGATACTAATAGACCGTCACATGCGTTGCATTCAGCTATCAACCGAGCAATCGCTGGTGCATTCGCTGGCAGTGGAGAGACTGCTGTAGCTAGCAATATTGTCAACACAACCCATAGACTTCAATGGTGGGACTTCACTTCATACAAACTTCCTGATATTTCAGATGGTGAGACTTACCTTTGTATTTAGTCATCTCATACTTACTTTGTAATTTTATCGATGTTTAGTTTAAGGTAGATACGTACCTTAGCCCTAAAAAATAGTTACCATGTGATTTTTATGATTTTTTAATCACTTAAATAATTTACAGCGACTTTCATAATTACCAAAATTTTACTTTTTAATAAAAATGGCATTACTTCTAATAAAGATAAATACATCATTAAATCATTAGCAAAATACGATAAATTTGCTATTACATGAAACTAGAGTAAAGACTTGGGTGGTAAAATTTCAATGACGCTGATGTTCACTTGTTTTTGAGTTTTGAGGAGACTTTTGGTATTCTTGTTGTTGTATTTCTCATAAATGATCCAGAAGTATATGAAATATGTTGAATTAAAAATTGGATCATGCAAAATCTTTTTTTCCTCTTCTTTATTTACAACACAGCCGATAACAATGTTATAGTAGAAAACTGTAAAATACACAATGATGCCAGTTGTGATATCTCCCAGGATGGTACCATGATTGCTGCATTTGTACCAAGTCATCGTGGTTTCCCGGATGATGGAATACTGGCAATATACTCTCTCCAGGCTGACAGCTTTGGTGATTGCCTCTACACTAAGAGCTTTGGTAAGAAACGTTATTAGTCGCAAATATCTTCATTCTAGATATAACAGGACTCAACGTAGTAAATTTACGACCACCAATTCTAATGTACAAAATAAGCAACAGTAAGAACTAGAAAAAATATTTATGCTTCTGGTCACTATGAATTTAATCATTTCAATGCATGAGAAATAATTTTTTGGCGAAGGTTTCTAAGAGTTGTATGTTGGAATCTGTTTGAGAATCAAATCAGTATTATAAGATGGACACACCACATCATGATATATCTAATGTAGTAATTACGCCACTCTAAGTGGGACTAAGCTGAGTGACACTTCTGTAAACTTAAATCTTAAATGTATTTGCTTGCAGGGCCTAATGCAATATCGGCAAGTATCTCCCCAACTAACAGATATGTTATGGTTGGTTTGGCATCAAGAAGACTTCATTGGCATGTAACATCAAAACAGGTAACAGTTCTTGTTCCTTTCTATTTTGCAGGCATTGTTTTTTCATCATTATTCGAATAAAAAATGACAGCACCATCAATATGATATTTCTTAATCTTTCTGTATCATTTTCTCACATAGTGATTATTAAGATGCAAAAGTATTATCTGTTATTATTTTGCTCGTGAAAAAAAATGTCTCATCATATATATTTTGACCAGGAAGGACTTATTTAGATAATCTAAATCTCAGCGAGGGTGGTGCTTTTTCTCTAACATTTCCATATATACAAATACTGTATATACTGTCTGTGATACCACTTCATTCATCATGGCTTATTCACTGTATTACATATTCTATTTGTAGATGGTGGCTCAGATTTTCCGGTTGAAACATGCCTATGCTGGGGAAGATTCATGCCAGCATATCCAGAATGTAATGCATCCATGTGACGTTGAGCGACGGATGCATGTCAGTGTCAATTCAGCAAAGTGGCTACCCTGGCCAGGATGGGGTGTGGTTTATGGTACTAATAGAGGCGATTTACATATATGTAGATTAAGGTTTGTATATATTTATCCCTTTCCTGATGCATGTATACCTAATTGTGACCATATGAAGTGAACAGGACAGGCAAAAATTAAGAAATATATGATAAAATCATCACATCCAAGAAATGATAAAACACATTCTGGAATAAGTATCTTTAGGGCTATGATGTGGTTTTGTCATGGCAGATCAATTTATAAAATATAAATCAAAGTAATAGCTTTCAAATTTTCCATGCTGAAATGATTTAAAGAATTTCATGCATGTTTTCTAATTTTATGTTATGCGTTGTTTTTACGTTTGTAGGATGCCGGTCATTCCAGAGGACCAGCCGACACATAATGATGGTGCATCAAATTCTACAAGAAGTGCCAGTCAACAAACTAGGGTACCGGATAACATGTATGCACGGCGGAACATAGACACTGCAGGACGCGTAAGGGACTATCAAATGCTTGGCGTGGTTGGACTTGGACTGGTGTCGCCCCCAGAGACAAATTCCACTGCCACGCAAACTGTACCCGTGAGAGTACAGAGTACAAGCACTCAGACTGAACATGCAGTGGGTCATAGCGGGGACAATACTAGCAACGTGCAAGCCAGCACAAGCAGCCATAGCGACACTGGCGAGACCATACAAAATAGGACCAGTGATGATGGCCAGAATGACTACCAGTCGAATAGTTCTTCAGATGAGGACGGTGATACATCAGGTCACGGATCTGGTGACACAAGCAGTGATGTATGGGACAGTACAAATAATGACAACCAAAATGCTGATGTGGAGTCAGATGATGATCTTTGAATTTCATTCTTACAGACATCCATGATAAGCTTATCTTATGTCCAAGAATTGATGTTGATAGACACAGTTTCTTGTTTGTGTAAAGCATCACTTGCCTAGGTCCATAGAGTAGGAAGTGTGGATGTTGAGGGCTTTTGTTTGTCAGCAATACAGTAGCATTGCCTCTCACAAGAACGTTGATCGTTGACCATGTGACATTAAGCACTATTTACATCTCGTGATTCAACTACGTCTTTCATTCCTGCCTTCATAGTGGCAAAGAATACTAGAACTCAGGTTTTATGTGTACTTTGTGTAATAATATGTGTGTGCCCACTCCATCCCTTCAAGCTTTTACAATGCCATACTGGTTACTGTGTGATAGTGGTATAGCAGTTGGGATTTCACATGTAGCTATACTGTGTATCTGTGAAATCAAGAAGTCTTGCCTAAGTTTGAGGATTTCATTCAAATTCTGCTTTCCCACTCACAAGAATTAACAAAAGGAGCATATGCTTTATTTTTCACACGCAATCTAGCATGCTTAATCAGTTTGCTCCTGATGAGTATAAACACGGTGCTGTAGCTGTCAAGAGTTGTATCCTGTCTTGCCTTGGAAGAATTTTTATTTAAATTGTCTGATATAAATTATTCTGTGTCCTGGCAAATGAATGTACGAGAAATGTCAAATTTTGTCTACTTGTAAATGCATTAATTATTCACTGGGTTTTATTTTTGCTGATAAGTAAAATCCTCTAAATTAAATCTACCAGTATATGAACATATAAAATAACAATAAAACTCATTGTTTTGACAAATTCGTGAAATTAAAACACAGTGAATATGCTCAAAACATCAAAATAGTGAAATTAAATGTCAGTGAAGAGAAACGCTTTTACTGTATGTTGAATGTTTACAGAAAAAAACAACAATAGAACACAATGGAGTCACTTGTCGAGGCGCAGTAAATCTGTGCACCATAGAACATTTGTCAGAATGTATATTTATATATTTTGTTTATATACAATTAATGTGCCAAAAGTTTGAAATAGTTTATACTATTTGTGTGCAGATATTTCTAGGACAATAGATTTCACAACAGGGTTTGAAATTCATACATGTATGTAGTTGAATATTCAAAACATTAATACATGCTACTGAATAAAAGTGTGTGTGTGGTAACAATAATTTGCCCTCGGATACAACATGTGTGTTGTTATAGTGTGCATGAAATTGTTATTGACCACAAATGTGTGGTATTCATAAAACCTAATTTCACAATTATATATAGATTGTACTGATATTTTAATCATTCCATGTAAACAAAAATGTTACAAAAATTATGCTACAAACACTAAATACACCCTTCAAACATCCCCCATGTTATACATTTAGTTTGTTGGCAATCTGATTTAAATTGAGAACAAACCTTGTATGTTGTAAACAAAATTCATGAGAAAAATTCCTCATGCAACAGATGAAGGCTTTGAACTAAATAAGGCGAGAGAAGAGGCGGCCACTTTTTAGCTCCGCTGTCGACTACAAGCCTGAGTGCTTTGATACTTGGTGTATATGTACCTTGGGTAGACCTCTCTTAGGTTTGTTCATTTCATGTTGATATCTTCAATTCTCTAATTTTGGTGAATATTTTTGTCATTTTTGGTAAAAAGTGATATTTTTGACTTCTTGTTAAAAACCGCAAGTGCAATTGCTTTGATATTACATATATAGGTACTACATGTGGACCTCTCTCAGATTTGTTCATTTTGTAATGATATCTTTAATTCTCTAATTTTGGTGAATATTTTTATCATTTTTGGTAAAAAGTGATATTTTCGACTTCTTGTTAAAAACTTTAAGTCCAATTGCTTTGATACTACATATATAGGTACTACATGTGAACCTCTCTCAGATTTGTTCATTTCGTGATGATATCTTCAATTCTCTAATTTTGGTGAATATTTTTGTAATTTTTGGTAAAAAGTGATATTATCGATTTCTTGTTAAAAACCACAAGTCCGATTGCTTTGATATTACATATTTAGATACTACATGTAGACCTTTCTCAGATTTGTTCATTTCGTGATGGTATCTTCGATTCTATAATTTTGGTGAATATTTTTGTCATTTTTGGTAAAAAGTGATATTTTCGACTTCTTGTAAAAAACCAATAGTCTGATTGCTTTGATATTACATATATAGGTACTACATGTGGACCTCTCTCAGATTTGTTCATTTTGTGATGGTATCTTCAATTCTCTAATTTTGGTGAATATTTTTGTAATTTTTGGTAAAAAGTGATATTTTCGACTTGTTAAAAACCAAAAGTTCAATTGCTTTGATATTACTATATAGATACTACATGTAGACCTTTCTTAGATTTGTTCATTTCGTGATGATATCTTCAATTCTCTAATTTTGGTGAATATTTTGGTCATTTTTGGTAGAAAGTGATATTTTTGACTTCTTGTTAAAAACTGTAAGTCCGATTGCTTTGATACTATACATATTGTTCATTTTCTAATGATGTCTTCAGTTCTTTAATTGAAATGTGCATTGCTAACAGCGGAGCTATCTCAGCCGATAGGCTGCTTGTTAATCTCAGTCTGAAAATGAGTACTTATAAATTGACCGCTGTACACGATATGTGTGTGCATCTCTTCGTATAAAGCAATATCTCACAAATGCTTGGAGCAATGAAGTTCAAACTTCACACATTATATACAAGTGTATGCACATGCATTTGTTTCATGATCCAATTTAAATGCTAAAAAATTGCACATGTTCTCCATTCAGGACCAGATCTCAGTCATGCATGGACGAATTATTGTACATGCATTGAACATAATAGGACTATGATGCTATTTTTTGTTTTGTTTTTCAAATTAGCTTCAAAATTGGCCTATTGGTGGACATTTTTTTAATATAATGTTTAAATCAACTTCACACATACATCAGATATATTGGACAAATGTATATGCATTTTGTGTCCCCATCAAATCAAAAACAGCTGAATGGCAGCCATCTTGTTTAATCGATTGCAGTTCTACAGAGCCGTGTCTCGTACATGTACATTTTGGTCAATATTATGGATATCGCCCCAGTAGTCATGGTCATGGCACTGGTCTTTCAATTTGGTAGGAATATGCGACCGGGAGGTAAAACCCCAGACCCCATCATAGGCCATTTTCACATCAAAAACCATAGATCAAATAGTGATTTTGTATATCCCATCAGAGACCAAATTGTCACTAAATTTATTCAGTTATAGGTTGAATTGTTGATGATTTCACAACACATGCGCTAAATTCGTACGGGCTGAAACACATTGCATTGTTCGGTTCATTGACGGGATTAATGATGGCCGATAGTTGCAGACTTTGGCAATCCGCTACGTGGAAATGTACCAATAAAAGTACCTAAACTCGAGTACATACATGGAAATTAAAAAAAAAAACAGACCCCATCCTAGACCGACAAACTTGATATGACCAAAAAGAAAGCAAATTTAAACCGCCATTCTAGACCAAACAGCTAAAAAATTACGACCCCAAAGAGCGGCACATCCCCATAATGTGATTTGTATTAAGTGACCAAGCCCCCCTCCCCCCACACTGCGCGCTCAGGAGCCTTATCCCAATTGGTGTCACAAACATGCCGCTGAGGGCAGTATGCTAAACACAGGCTGAAACTCTTCGCCAGCCAAGGTTTATTTATACGGCCATCTCCTCACCACAACATAGTATGTTTATATTGACATCACGAAACCGTGCGATGATGAGGCAGACACTGACTGAACTCAATTCTACCTTGTCCAGTGTAGTTATCAAATGCAATACTTGATACAATTGGTTAGATAAAGCGCAGGGGCTAATCTTTTTTTTTGTCGGGGGACTGAGGACCCGATTTCACAAAAGCAAAAAACAGCTTCGCCCACCCCTTCCGAGCAAAAAAAAACAAAACAGGGCGTACCTTCCCTAACATCAGAAAATACAGTGACCCGCCCCCAAAGAACTTTTGATTTATGTTTTAACTACTTGGTTTACTATAGTTAAACACCGTCCTTCAAGACGGTGAGTTAAAGTTTATGTTTTGGACAAGTTGTATCCAGGTTTCTGATCTGGTGACATAAATATCCTGAATTGTTTCAGTTTCTTCATCTTCAGAATCACCATTCCTGATTTCCCGAAAAGTGTTATCAGTCTCTGAATCGTCCTCTCTAAAATGTGTTGTATATCTATCGATGGCATATAATTTCTGAACGTACTTCACTACTCTTCTCTGCCAGCTTTTCTTCATCACATGAGACAACTCTATCTGTATCTTGCTTATTAGGGGTGGACCATTTAATATCCTGGGGGCCAGGAAGATTGAAGTGAAGCCTACTTTTTTTCCCTATCTGATATGTATTTTTTTTTTCAGCAGACCTTGTCTCAAATTTTTTTTTTTGCACTTAACAGTTGTTTTTGTTTATTGTTTTCAGTATTTTAAAGCAGGGGGGTCGTCACCTGCGCATGCGCAGGAATTGAGTCCCAAGCGACGATAACAACACACGCTAAAAACGCAAAGGCTCATGGGCATATGCTTGTTTGTAAACATTGACACTCTATGGTCATCTGACGCATGCGCAGGTGACAAAAATGTAGATGACTTGTATAATAGCCCTTTTGACATTATGAAATGATTTTGCTATCAGTCCACCTCCTGGATGTTTTCTCTCTTCCAAACCAGGCTTCTAAACAGTACACAAAACTACTTGACATTTATTTACCGACCCACCTGAAAAATTCCAGACCATTCTGGTAAAGAAGGAGAAGGACACGTTTGTAGATATCAAACTCTTGGATGGAAAAGAACATCAGGCTCTGGCTGTTGAAAAACTAAGGCAATGCCTCAAACAATAAAGAAATAAAGTGCAGGACCCCCGAAAGGGCAGGAAACACACTTCTAGCCTTAAAGTGCCTGTGCAATGCCCACCCCCACGTTTCCCATTTTAGATCTGTATCCCACTGAAATGGGCAGTTATTGATTTTTTTGCTGAAAATGATTACTCGTATCCAAGTAAATTTGGGATATTTCTCGTGTTGTAGCCACGCCCACCTATCCTGAAACGGTCGACTGTTTCCGGATTTCCGACTCTCACCGAAAGTGCGCCACCAAATGCCGAAATGTGAGAGGAAGTCATACCCCTGAGCCGTAATAACACTGGTCATTCAGTATACTTTTAAACGATATACATTTTTCAGTCGGCGTTTTTTTCTTCTTCTTTTTTTGTCTATTTTCTTCTTTTTTTTGAGGGAGAGAGAGTTTTTAGCTGTTGTGTTGTGGGCAGTTGCAATGAAACGTATAGTCATAGTGTAAGTATTCACACGTTTCTAATCGATCCGAAGGTGCGACATGAAAAAAACAACTAGGTTTAAAGAGAAACGCCGACAACATAAATCTGGCGCAACACTTTTGAAAGAAATAGATTCCGGACCATGATCACCGAGGCGGATTTCAGAAGAGAGAGAGACGTCCGGCAAGTGTTTCAAATGAGTTGACTTTTTTGCGATCCTGATTATCGTTTTATAGAGACCATTTAGTCCCTGTTAAGTAAAAGGTAGCAATAATTTTGACAGTGACACGAAAACGAAGCGTCGGACAAACAGGAATATACACAGCTGTCATGAATTTGTTTTCGCGTATCTGTTGACCGACTTAATTAGTTGATTACGAGCGAATTGCTGTGTTATGTCTGTCATCGTTTAGGTCTATTTGAAGTTTTGGACGGAACTTGGCTCAGTGGTTTGGAACTAATTACAAGATACCGTCGCTATTCTGACATCCATAGTTATTAATGTAGTGAACGATTAATCAAAAGATATGACGTATTCAGTACTTAGTGTGATTGGCTTTATGATTGAAGGTTACGCCCTAGAGTCTTTTACTGTTTTGTAATTGGTTAGAGTTTTGAAAATGAATAAAGAGAGTTTGAGTTGGTCTTGGCGAATACTCCACGACAGACGCAGTCCGAGAGAGTCCAGGGGCGAGCCTTGAGGCAGTCCAGTCTTGGGCGAGTCTTGGTTCAGCCTTGTAAGAGTCTTGGGGACTTTTCCCCAGGGCGCTGTGTCTTATAGAGTGCTCCAAAAGATCGACTAAGACGAGAGTTGAAACGTATTTCGTTGTGTGCGTCTTATTTGACTGTAAAGTATAAGTGACTTTCCCGATCCCGTACCTCAAGGGGACGAGATAGAGAGACGAGTTTCCCCCCTGGCAAGTGTGGAGACCCCGAGAGAGAAGATTT